AAAAAATCAAGTCAAAACGCTGTGATTATGTTTTGTATAATTTCAGCCACATACATCTAAATAATACTAGTGATCCCCCAATAGTCGAAATTCTACTATAATTCATTGAAATTATAAGTTTGAACATTATTATGGTTCTATTGTCAAAGACTAATACTTCTATAATCACAGATTTCGCCAAGACTCTACTATAGACAAATAATATTAAAGACAAACAATATTAATATATGTATTTTCAATTTGACCACAGGCTTTCACAATAAACAAAAAATAAATACAGTCAAAACCGTTTACTGCGACATCGTTTAGAACAACATACCGGTTATAATAACCTAGAACAAAGGTCCCGGCTGAATGCCATATGACCGCCTTATTAAAAATATTGCTTTCTACGACATTGGTAATAACGACATACCTCATAAAACGACCACATTTAACTAATATTTCGGAGAATTCGATCTGTTAGAACGACCGGCTAAGCTGTATTGTAAACAATTTCAATAGGTATCCACATTTGTCTTCAATGGCTTTTAAAATCAAGAAAGAAAACAATAGGATTTAGTTTAGTGTAGGGTCTTTTCTAATTCTTAGAAACAAAACACGTGCATGCGGTAGTCAAAGCCCGCTTCTTCATATCTCTTCAGTTAGTTTGTTACTTATCTATACACAAGACGCACCAAAACTTTGTGGAGTTATTCGTGAAACTTTCAAAATGTCGCAAAGAAAAAGAAAACAAATTAATATTGAAGAAAAATCGCGTATTAGAAACAAATAAGTATTGGAGAGAGAGGGCGAGAGAGCGAATATATGTTCCCCAATAAATTCCCTATCGATTTGTTTGTACTTGCGCCACGATACACATTAAACAGTCACCGGTTGTTACGTACTATCGCGTTTTTACGGAGCTGAAGATGAGCAGTCCCTTCGATGTTCGTTATAACAGGATTTTGACTGTAATTAACATTCTGCAACTCTTCTCGGATATCGGGTATAAAGTATGTAAAGTTCGAGTACTCCTCCGTCCCGCCGCAATTTTCGTAAAAAGGGATACTAAAGTTTTTATTCACGTATAATATATTGATAACTTGTTGTATTCTTCTCCAGAAAGAAGATCGAATCCTGGGGCAGGATGACGCGATGACGCAGGAGGATAATGGTGGCGGCGCGCTCGTAGCGCCGCCGGGCTCGAGGCCCTGAGGCCGAGCACACGCAGCTGCTGGCCTGGCCTCGCAACCAACAGGCCGATACACGAGAATGAAGAAGGCTTCTCTGGTTAAGAAGAGCATCGAAGCTATCGATCTTGGATTGGGAGAAGCTCAGGTCAGTGATCTCTTTTTGTTTTATTGCCCTTGTAACAGACGAGCAGTAGCGGCCCAGCCGATGGCGATGGACTTCAGCAATGCCAGGTGCAGAGCCAAACTGTTGCCTACCGAAAGACTCGTAAACAGATTTTTTTTCTTCCCTACATATTCTAGTAACTTCGAGGGGTTATTCTAGATTCACCGAACTAGTAGGCGAGCTCACGGGGCTCAAACCGGGAGTGTTACTAACACTGGCCCTAACAAGAGCAGTGCTTCGCAGAATCTACTACCAGGATCGAAAAAATCGCAACCTACTGAGAAGACCGGCGAGAAACTCAGTGGCTGTGTCTGTGGTTAATTTACTGCCGCGTTCGCGCAAGCGGACGGGTTCGCGGAGGACGTGTGACCGACTAAACAGAGTTAAACGTTTCACAATTATAGAGTAACTAGCTTTTGCCCGCGAGCTGGTCGTCACGCGTGGAATAGTTACTCTTGGCATAAACGCTAAATTTTACCGCGCCCGACTTCATTCACATACAGCACTCAGGATTGGAACTTCATTACTGAACCGGTAGATGGCGTTGAAGAAGCTAGATTTTGAGATGTTTTTGAGACAAATAATTTAATTTTTCGTAAAAAAAAAAAAGAATTTTTATATAAAGAAGTATCCTATGTTACCTTCTTAATACCTTCCAAGAATATGTGTACAAAGTTTCATGCATGATCGGTTGAGTAGTTTTCGAGGAAACGCAGTACATAACAAACTTACAGTTCACATTGTATATATTAGTAGGGATAAATATCGTATTATAACACGTGCTTCATTCAAACTGTTGATTCGCGATTGGATATAAACATGTCACCGCTGTCGCGACAAATTATTACTTAATTTATTGATAATCACAATCGTTGATAATAAATGTTAACCGAATAAAAAAATAACAAGCAGAGGAGACCGTACATCTACTTCTTTTCACCACCTCTTTTGACATAACTTTATTAGACTATCAAAATTTCAATAGCAAAGAAACCTTTAAGTAAAATCGATATTTTTACTCCTTCCAGTACTCTAATAAGTTTCATTTATCTTTAGTATATATTAATACGTGAAGCAAACAACTTGTATCCCTCTTTTTACGAAATAATGCCGCCGACGTGAGGTATATGATGAATTTTCACATCTTATAGACGGGGGGTAATATTAGATGAAGAAGTGCCACAATGCTAATATTTTTTGTCAGTGAGAGGTGAAGATAAGGTGGGTCATAAGAATATAGCAGTTAGTAAGCGTCAATCAAGAAAGAAAACATTACACATACTACATACCATGTATTTGACGCACACACGATGCATACTATTTATTGTCAAACTTTTGTTCTAGACGTTTGTTGTCAAATTGAGAATAGATTAAATATTGTTTGTCTCTTTATTAATATTTTTTTCATAGTAGTCTTGGCGAAATTTGTGATTATAGAAGTATAAAAT